AGCACCAATTGTTCAAAAGTTATGGCCAATGTTAAAGTTTTTCAAAAGTAGGTCAAACTCCAAGGTCAAGTCAAAAGGTCAAAGTTGTTGGTATCCAAAGGAAGGTTTTGTCACAAGGATTACACGTGTCAAGTATGAAAGCCCTAGCACCAATTGTTCAAAGTTATGACAATAGTTAAAGTTGGGAAAATTTTTGCAAAACTGGGTCAAACTCCAAGGTCAAGGTCAAAAGGTCGAATATGGTGGTATCCAAAGAAAGGTCTTGTCACAAGGAATACACATGTGAAATATGAAAGCCATAGCTCCTACCAATCAAAATTATGGGCAATGTTAAAGTTTTTGCGGACAAACAGACAACCAGACAGACAGACGGACGGACAGGGCAAAAACTATATACCCCCGAATCTTCGATACAGGGGCATAAAAAACACATTCGAATGTCACGAGGTAGTTCCAAGTTCATTGGTTGTAATAAGTTTCATGCACCTGTCCGCTTATATACATGACATGGAAATTGAAATGACACTATGACACTATGATCTACATGTATGAAGTTGAACTTTTATCCCCAATTAACAGAAGGTTCTATTCTGGAACGACAATAGCTGACGGCACAAGATACGCAAAAGTAAAATTGCCTGAAAACATGAGCTCACTTCCATATACAATAAAATTTTAGAAAGATTATTATAGGTGTCTACACAACCGGCAAATCAAAGTGTGCTCCGTATGTTTTTGTAGCGAACATTTGTTTCGATCTTGTCATAATTTCACTAGTTTTAGGTGTAAGAGTGAAGGACATTAATTTTTTTCTAGGAAGATAAGATAAATAAGATGTACAGAGTAGATCGAATTGGTTTTATTTTGGTTTCAAAACTTTTATGTATTTATGTGAGAAATATTTTTTACGTAGAAACAACGAGTGATCACTCTATGGTTGTAATGAATTTTAACCCAGATGTGTCTGAAAGAGGATCAGTGTTTGGATTCATAACAATTTGCTTTTATGTGATGAATATTATAAAAATAAGATCCAAGAACTAATTGAAAGAGAAAAATAATATATATTATTTGATCAGTCAATGTTTGTCTGGTGGGATAATTTAAAGTACACAGTTAAAAAAATTATCACAAAGTTATAGTCAGAACAGAGCTAGAGAAAGAAATAGAAAGTATTTTAGAATTCAAAACAGTATACAAAGAACGTCACAATGTATTGCTGATGGTATTAATGTAGACATTGAAAAATATGAAACTTAAAACAGAACTTAATGAATATGAAAATGAAAGATGCTAAGGTGCTATACTAAGGTCTAAGGCACAATGGGCAAACGAATCTGATAGGTGTACGAAATATTTTTTGAAATGGCAAGAGGCAAATACTGTAAAAGAATTGGGAAGTGATTCGGGCGAAGTAAAGAAAGATTTAGATTCTGTTTTAGAAATGCAATACAATTTCTATTCTTAGTTAACTTAATGAAAATGACATGGAAATGTGTGATAGAGACATTGATACCAATGAAATAGAACAAGCTATAAAAGAAATGGACAGCAATAAGAGTCCTGGTCCTGAAGGTTTAACTGTTGAATTTTATAGAACATTTTTACCCCATATAAACTTTTTTGAGAAAAAGGAAACACTATCACATTCTATGAAAAAAAAAACATCATTATATAAGAAAAAGGGTGATGAAAGATTATTATAAAACTGGAGACCAATTACTTTATTGAATGTAGATTACAAAATAAGATCAAGAATGATGTCCAATAGACTCAAACTTGTGCTACCAAATATTGTTTCTGTGAGTCAGACATGTATTATTGTGAAAGATATCGCAGACTCCTTGCCTAGTATAAGAGATATTATAGAAATGTCTAAAATGGGCGAAATAGAAGGTTATATTTGTAAAATTGATCAAGAAAAAGATTTTGATAGAGTTAGTCATGAACATTTATTAGATGTGTTAAAATTATTTGGTTTTGGAAATAGTTTTAGAAAATAGGTAAGAATATTTAATACAGGTATTCAAAGCAGTGATAAATCTAACAAAATACTTTCCAGTCAAAAACTCAGTACTAGTAAAACAAGGCTCTCCAATGTCTGTTTTGCTGTTAGTATTATGTGCAGAACCTTTAAGTTGTGCAATTAAATGTAATAGCTTTATTAAAGGTGTACATATTCCTACATCTGATAAAACTGCATTGATTTTTCAACATGCAGATGATACAACAATGTCAGTTTGTGATAAGAAATCTATTTTTGAAATATTGAAAAATTTTGAATTGTATGGAAGAGCATCTAGTGCAAAAATAAATATACCAAAGTCTGAAATCATGTGTATAGGGTCTGGAAAACTTTTAGAAGATGATAAAAATTTATATGATATTACAGAAACAAATATAATAAAGAATTTAGGTGCTATTTAGGTAGAAACAATCAGAATGTGAAAATTTGAATTGGAGAAACAAAGTACAAAACATTAAGCAAATTTAAATTTATGGAGAAAATGAATGTTAACAATTCAAGGAAGAGTTACTATCATAAAGTAAGGAGACAGGCGAAATAGTGGTTTAAAAATTAATGATATATATTTAAAAATGTTTTCTTTTAGACTGAAATTTTCAGGGAAGTGTATGTGTTCTACTAAATAACATGTATGGAAAGATATATTTAGTTATTTTTTAACAAAAATCTGTGATTTAAAAGGAGGAGTTGAAATATTCCTTTTACGATTGAGTCAAAAAGATTTAAAATTTTTACCACCTTTTTTATTCTGAAGTGTTTAGTGCGTGGTATGCATTGAGGGATGATGTTGATTATGATGAAAACGTAAATGATGTGTTTAATTACTGTTTATAAATCCAAAAATTGTCAATCAAAATAAAACGCTCATGTGGAAGCACTTTATTACAGCTGGTATTACACATATTAGAGACATTTCCTATTAAGTAATAACTGGATTTTTACATGCATCTTTTATTGTAGAAATACTACATAAATATAATTCAGATATTAGTGCAAAACTTATTCAAAATGACTCCTCAACATTATTGTCTATAATTGAAGAAGAGTGAAAAAGTGTTATTCAAAATAATGTTTACAGGAAGAATATCTGTTTGCCTAATTTTAAGTTAAGAGTGCAAAACCCAAAATATGGATTTTCTTCATGCACTTTTAAAATATTTTACAAGATATTAACAAAAGTAATTGTTTGAACCTCCAGTGTCAAACGAATATTGGAAAGAGAAATTGACATTTGAGGATACAGTAAAACTTGGTAATAGATAGAATGTACTGAAAGAATTGCGTATACCTCCTGATATTGTAGAACTTGATTTTAATATTTTTCAAGTCACCTGCGTGGTGCGGTGGTTAGAGCGTCTGCTCTAGAGTCGCGAAGTAAGGAGTTGATCCTTACGTCGCGGGTTCGAATCCCACTGTGGGACGTGGAGACCGGTCCTTCGGATGAAACCGTATAAACCGAGGTCCCATGTCGCAGTAGGTGCTGGCACGAAAAAGATCCCTCACTGCTCAATGGCCGTAAGTGCCGAGTATAGGACAAAATTTGCAGCTCTAAACCGGCAAGTTGTGGCGTCTCCATATGAGTGAAAAATTCTTGAGAGGGACGTTTAACAACATACAAACAAACAAAAACAAAAATTTTTCACAGTGGAATTTTTATCTATGATAAACTGTTTAAAATTGGTAAAACGGTTTCCAGTAGATATCCACTATATAATAGAATGTGAAGATTAAATGCACATGTTTGTCAAATGTAAAGATACATGTAAACAAGATTTTAAAAACAATTTTATCATATATCAGTTACAGTCGTTGTTGAAGGACTGTAAGAATAGTATATATAACACTTGAGACATTGAGGAACTTTTGTTAACAACATTTCCTAGTAGTGTGGAGAAAGTTAATACTTTTTTCGTTAATTTTTTCATATCAATTTGTAAATTTACTTTTTATAGAAGGAAACAGTTGTTTACACAAAGCAGTCAAAAATTAGAATTGATAAGATTCTGCAAATACACAAATTACATTTATTATACAGTAATTATTATCATCTATATAAGACAGAAAACAATAAAATGATGTTTTACAAGAATTTTTTGAGAAAAAATCCCATTTTGAAAGAAAGAGACGGAACCCTATTGTCCATATTTTAAATTCAATTTGTTTTATAAAGTGATGTTGACTACATATAGTGGATATTGACTGTGTTATATATATACATTGTATTATTGTAAGATTGATTAATAAAAGATAAGAAAAAAAAACAGCTGGGTATATACACTGAATAAAATTTTTGAGCCGTGGTTCGAATCCACCTGGTGCCACACTTTTGTACAGTTTAAAATTCGTGTCTTTTCAAAGCCTATTATAAATTTTAACAGGGTCTTGTATATTTTCTTTTAATTATCTATCTTTCAAACATGTTCTTTCTTGATACATTAATGGCATGTTTTATTATATCAACGGAGATATGTTGTAAAATAAGTACACATCCAAAACAAACCCAAATAAAACCCCCAATATTATCATTATTTACAATGAAAAGTAATAAGAGGGGGGAATCAAATAACATTTTGAGATAACAAACTCAAAATGTGTTGACAATATACTAGTAATCATGCTTCATAATAAATGTCTTAGTAAAATCTTAGTTCAAAATGCAAATTTGAAAAATGTTAAAACCAATATACGGTAGAAAAAAAATAATGAACATTGATTTTTAAATTTGACTTTCTGGGAAATTGTTCTCTCCTATGGGTAAATTCTTTTGAAATTATGAATACATCCTTTAAAGTATAATAATTTCATTTTAAGAAAATATAATAGTAACCTTTCTATCACGCAATTGAAGTTCTTTAGCAATCCGCCTTTTTAATACTTCTTTGATTTTTTTTCGCAATCGCATATTATTAATAGATCTCTATTGATTTAAAACAAAACTTTAAATAATTAACTTTTTAGGAAAATAAATAGAACATTAGCAGTCTTTTTTTATCGCAAAGAAATGATCTTGTATGCTTTCTTTGCGTCTTACAATATTTCCATTTGTTCGATTAATTTTGTCAAATATCTGGAACATTGACTGTAGAAATATTTCATTTAAACCAATTTCTATGTATTTGTCTTTTTCTCTAAGGTATTGCATAAAAAGAGTTTCGTTTGAGCCAATTTCTTTCAGTTTATTTGCCAATGCTTGGGGTGAAGGGAAATCTAGAGCGTTTATAAACGTTCCGTTAGGTATATATTCCGCTGCATTTTGTGGTCCATTAATCACTGGTATAACATCTAAATTACCCAAAAATATATTAAATAATTTTTCTGTCGTGTAGTATTTACAAATGTTATTTTCAAAGGCAAAATAAAATTTGTAATCACGAGAAAAGTTTCGCAAGCATTCATTTAGTCCTGGAGTTGGACTAAGACAAACAGCGTTCCCACAAGATCCGAACATATCGACCTGTATATAATTCTTTAAATTAAGTATGTAATCTTTACGACGAGACGGCACTGGACAATGTCCTGACATCCAAACACCAAAATATTTCTTCTTCTGAAATACCTCCGTATAATTCTTCACCAAAAGGGTCGCCCGTTTCTTAAGTATTCCATATGGTCGATATATATCCGAATCCATGCGATAAGACATCAGCCAATCCAGACTATTATTCCATTTTTGGTAATGTTTATTCATGAAGTTAGGAGCTTCCATAGTGTTAAAAACCCATATCTGACACTTTGTTTTATTAGGTGGCACCTCACCCATAGTATAATGTGTAAATATTACAACATCACTCCTAGATAAATCTCTTATATTATATGTAAAGATCCATTTTGGGTGCTTTTCATGTGTTTTAAGGCTTGTATAATTCAACGCATTAATTAAATAGGATGGGATATTGTACCACAATATTCTCCACTCTGTTTTATTTATCAAAGGGCAGTTTTGTGGAGTGCTAATAGAATGTTCTTCGAAATCCAATTTTTGATACATAAATTCAAACATGATGAATGCTAATCCAATAAATAGTAACAGGACAAACATAAAAATGAATTTTTTCATCTGCGAGAACCTGAAAAAGAAGAAATAAATATTTTCCATGAAAAAGGTCTAGTATGTGGATATTTTATTTGAATTATAAAGGCTTGAACAGTTTTTAAAACATTATATGTATTTTTTTAAAGTCTTACTATATGCCTAATGATTTGTCTTTCTGATGATTTTATCACGTGCACACGAACTTGGTCTTTGTGTCATTCTGAATGAATTATTAAGTTTAGTAAGGAGGTCATATACATTTTGAATTTGAAGTTATTTCGGAAGGAAAAATGTCGAAATTTAAGCATTATTCAGTCAGAATCTGCCATCTTTAAATGCATTCTGTTTTGGTCCAAATAAATGTAATATGTAAAGTAATGTAAGAAAATTTTGAAAACATTTGGGCTTTAAGTTTCCTTGTATTATGTTTTGAAAAAATACATGTACATAAAATCAAAAAAATAGATGCAGAACTGTCAAGCTCCCTGGACTGAAAATATTGGGATGGTCGTCTGTCCCATTTTTTTTTCTAACCATTGAGCTACAAATCTGCAGCTATCAAAACCCCAGGCTATTTGCATGTTTTATTATATTTATCTTTCTTCAGAAATTTAGATACATACATTTTAAATTTCAAAGACTTCTATTAAAAACTGATAGTCAATCAGAGACAACCGAGATAACTTGATACATGTTATTGTATCAAGCTCTATTGCAAAAGCAGCTTATACACATCCATGTGCCCTGTTTCAGAACTTAGTTTGTCTTCTCTGAAAATCAAAAAACAAAACTTTGTAAATACATTATTTAGCCGATTACAGCTCAATTTAATTGAAGCTGAGTATTTTTTTTTCTAGAGAGAATTCGGTCATACACTGAACATGTGTGTGTAAAGGCAAGTGCAATGATACATATAAGAAAGTTTACTGATTTATTTTCACAGTCTTTAATTCTGAAAAATGATAAACAAAAGTATATTACTTTAGTCCTATCATACAAACACTGATGTTCTTTATCACTGTTTAATTCTCGAAAGGTCTTGTTAGCACTCTGTGCTTCACAAGAAGAAAAATTCTCAGATTGCCTGCGTAAAACTAAATAGCAAAACCTAATGAACTTGGAAAGTACTTTTAAAGCTCCAGGGATATTTTCAATCCAAGAAATTTTTTGGATCAGCTGAAACATAATATTGATATGACTGCATCTTCTCCAAGTTTTATATTTAAAAATTGAGGCCCCAGCACAAAATAAACAAAAGTGTCCTCTAACGTACGAATACATTAAATGCCAATTGTACATTTTAAATTTTGTCTATTGTTTATTTACATGACCAAAATGTTTACACAAACACTTTTTATTTCAGATATTTATCAAATTGAATTCCCGTGAGTACTTATTGTACCCTTTGTCAGTCAACCTGTTTTTGCATTCCTGTGAAGCAGAATTTATTTTTAAAAAACCTTCGACGTGACAAGAGAAAGTCTCTTATTGAAACCTTCAATTCGACGTATAAATATGTAGACAACATTAAATATCAATTCGCAATATTAATTTTCATTCATACATTGATTTGATGTATCCTACTGACCTAGAATTATAAGACTCCAAATATATCAACATCTATAACATCTTTTAATGTTTTACTAGTCAGAAACATTGATTGTACCAGTAAGCTACCAACTTATACGGAATGTTTTTCATGGCACTTGGTACAATTTCTGAAGTTTCAAGGGGTATGTGTTTTCTCTGCTTTCATTTTTTTTTTTTTTTTTACCTCTTGGATTTTTGAGTTTTATTTTTGCTCGTTATACATGTATCTTCACTTCTCATCATTAAATAATGACAAAACAAAATAAACCCCTTTCTGTTCAGGAACCAAGAGGTAAACAAAGACAAAACTCTTGTGAATACTTATTGAAGTAGTGTTGATTAAATTTTATTGCAATGATGGCCTATGATACTTTCATGTATAGGTTTGGAAAGGACGTGAAGGTAAAAAAAAATAATGGGATTGTAAAGGGAAGTCACAATGTATTTTAAAGAAAATCGTATTCGTTAAATCATTCAGCCAAATGAAGGAATGGGAGGCACAACAGGAAATGAAAGTCTCATCCTGAAATATTTAGGAAAAGTTTGTCGAAATCTCATTTTTAAGAGCAGCAGGACCACAGTAAAAGTAAAATGCAAGCATTTCTTCTTTCAGATCTAGAATACTTGCCAAATTCTTTCACAGGAATGTAAACATTTCGTCTGCCAAAGAAAAAAACAAACAAGGGAATAATTTGCAAATCAGACATCTCTGCTACATGTAATATCTGTACGAAAAACAAATTTCTAAAGACATTTCTGCTAATTTCTGTAATTAAAACAAATTGTTAGTACAATAAACGACTTACTTTATCTGTAAATTTATTTTTCAGGAAATCAAAGGTGTTTTACGTGAGCATTTGATTTCATTAGTCAGTTGTTGTTAGCATGTTTACGATGATTTTATTTCAATAATATATTACAAAAAGGAAAATTAAGTGTTTCATTTTTTTAAGTGTTTAAAACTTTTGAATATACTATATCTATATAAATCAGCTTCAATTTGTTTTGGCTAGAATGTCATTTTCAAAAATGCTTTTTCCAAATCCTGCTGCTAGCTGGAGCAGTCCTCTTACTGTCTTTGATATCAAGTCTTAGCAGTTTTACAAACCTGCTTTAAAGGCATTCTTCCCTGTTCAGGTACCAAGAGGCCCAAGGGCCTTAACGGTCACCTGAGTATAATACAACAATTTAAAGGATCCAGAGTATAAAATAAACTGATAGATGAAGCTTTGTTGCGCAAGAGAAATAGGATGATCAGGATCAATGAAATAATTAGTCTAGTGTTCAGTAACAACTCATAAATTAAACTCTAATCTATCCCCCATTTATCACTATCATCATGCAGACAATTAACAAACTATCAGTTCTTCTGTACTACTTTTAACCCCATATTGTGACCTCTCACATTGACCTCTCTTGGTCTTTGAAGAACATTTAATGAGAAAAGTTATTTTTGTCTCATTTTGATTTATTTTTTATTTACAAGTCTACCTGATCATTAAAACTATGAAAATACTTTTTGTATTATACAATAACATTTTTTTCATAATTCTCTTATTCTATTGACTTTCAAATGCATTATTTACAGTGATTAATTATTAAAAGTGAATGGCAAAGGGGAATAACTTCTCTCATTAGAATACAAATTAATAGAGCCCTGGCCAGGACCAGAACACTTGACCAAATGGTCTCTGATGTTCAAAAATCTGGTAAAAATATCCTTGCTTTTTAAAACTTTTATTCTGTTTGCCTTCGATTTGCCAAGGAGCAGAGAAGATTTTATAAGAAATAATGCATTTTCACTACAGATTAAACACAGCCCTATCCTAACACTAAAACCCATGTCCCAGGGTCATGAAATTCACAAATTTGGTAGAGGTACCCTCATCATCATAACCATGCACTTAGTTGAAGATTTTCAAAGAATTAACACATATTCACTATATTATCAGTATAACCCCCCCCCCCCCGACCCTGGGGCCAAGAATTTCACAATTTTTGAAAAGACATCATTGCTTATCATAATCATGTACTTAGTTTGTTTAAATTATACCCAGGAGCAGAGAAGATGATTTTCAAAGAATTAATGCATTTTCACTATATAATCAATAGTGTACCGCCCTACACCAGAACCCCTGACCTAAAGGCCATGAAATTCATAATTTTGTAAAAGGCATCATTGCTTATCTTAACCATGCACTTAGTTTGTTTAAATAATACCCTGGAGAAGAGAAGAAGATTTTCAAAGAAATAATATACTTTCACTATATGATCTATATAGCCCCACCTAGCACCCCTGACCCTGGGGCCATGAATTTCACAATTTTGGTAGAGGGCCCAATGCTTATTACAATCATGCCAACAGTTTGACTGCTTGATGTCCAGGAGTAGAGATTGCATCAATTTTGGTGGTTTTAGCTCCACCCGTTGGCCCCAGGGGGGCAGGGACCATGATATTCACAATTTTTGTTCCCCTTCACCCATAGATGCTATATGCCAAAATTACTTATAATTGGTTTAGCGCTTTTGGAGAAGAAGTTGAAAATGTTGAAAAGTTAACGCACGACGACAGACAAAAACGGATAGCAATAGGTCACCTGAGTGACTCATACCCATGGTGCTCATTAAGAGGTGCTAAGTTTTGCTGTCTGAGTGACTCAGGTGACCTAAAAATGGAATCGTTCAATTTTAAAGTAATACGATTCATGGGAAATGAAATTTCGGGCTTAATAAATAATCAATTATAGAACAAACCGCCAAATTTTAAATGCTATCATGTTTGAGAAAAAGAGAAATATGGATATGGAAAAAGAGCACTTAAGAGGAGAACTGGCAATAAAACTCGGGATTCAATTGTCATCTGACAAAAGACGAATGTACAGTATACTTAAAATTGTCCATAATACTTTATATGCTTTATAAACCTTTAGCCAACGCAAAAAAATCAACAAAAACAAGTTATCATTGCATTTAATTTTCTGCAATCATTTAGCATCTTTTTTTGTAAGCGTTTAGTTTTGAACTTTGGTAGCTAATGAGCAAAACAGAAAGCAGGTAATCTTTTTGGCATATGGAATGGAAGGTGGAATTGTTGTTAAAATTTTAGATCCAGTATATTTAATAACTATGTTGGTATTGTTTGTATATTTTTTGGGTTTCCTAAGAGTCAAAATGCATTGAACTTCAAACTACCTTTGGTCTGGCAATGAACATGCGTTAACTAACATGTTATATGAACCACAGAGAAGTGGAGAAAAAAGTCTTGTATACAAAATAAGGACACTTCCGTGGAGGCCATAAAGTTGTCTCTAGTATCGTGTAAGGTATAAAGTTTAGGAAGAACTATTGAAAACGATAAATTAAGTGATTTAAGGATACA